TGGCGAGTGTGTGTGGGTGTGTGCGTGGAGAGGCGGGGGGGGGGGGGGGGGGGGGGGGGGGGGGGGACGAATGCGTGTGCTCATGCGCTCGTGCGTGTGGCATGAACACACAGACGCATGCGGGCCCAGGAAAAGGGGAGCAAAAGAACTGACGATGGAAAAGGGGCGGAGGGAGATCCAACAAACAAGCCGACGCACTAGGTGTACTGAGAAAGGTCGACGGCTCCGCGGTCGGCTCGGCGTTGCCGGACGGCCCCCGGACTCCGGGACCGGGACCGGGCACCACGGCGGCGGCCGGGTCCCGGCGACGTCCGACGAGGGCCAGCCACATGCCGACCGCCGCGGCCAGGGGAATCCCCAGGACCACGATCAGAAGCAAGACCACCGGCAGGACCGCCGCGGCGACCATCATCGAGGCCAGGGCCACGCTCCCCACGGCCAAAACCACCAGACTGGTAGCCGCCATGGCGGCGACGGTGATCGTCGCGCATAGCCCGGTCATCAGCGGGGCTGATGCTACGACTGCGGCTCCGGTGGCCACGTTCCGCGCGAGGATCGCCAGCCGCCGCGGGGTGGTGGCCATCACGAGGGCCGTGGCGGTCGCGGGTGTCGTCGTAGTGGCCGCGGTCCGATCGCCGGCCATATTCCGGCCGCCGATCGCGATCCCAGTGCGCGGTCCGGCTTGAGTGACGGTCCCGGCTCCGGCTCCGGCTCCGGCTCCGGCTCCGGCTTCGTCCGTGTCGCCGGTAGCGATCATCCTCTCGGGGCCGGGACTCATAGTTGCGGTGGCCGCGGCTCCGGCTCCGGCTCCGGCTCCGGCTCCGGCTCCGGCTCCGACCTCGGCTGGGCTCACGGTCTCGACTGGACTCACGGCCTCGACTGGACTCACGGTCCCGAAGGTCCCGGCTGGGGGCCCGGTCGGCGGGGAGGGCGGATGACCCGGCAGACTTGCCGCTCGGGGAGGCGGTGTGCTCATCGGTCGTCGGGTCACTTGTGCTGAGAATCTGCGCACGGATGCGCGGACGCGAGGAGGAAGTGGTGGGTCTGGCAGATGCAGAGCCAGCTTCCCCGGATGGCATCAGGTCCTGCTGCTCGAGGACTTGGGGCGCGATGCGGACACGGGTGGAGCCGGCGGCGGCGGCGGCGGCGGATTCAGTTGTCCCCTCCTCGTAGGCCGGGACGCCCATGGCAGAGCAGGTGGCGTGGATCGGAAGTGGGGGAGGGGGGAGGGTGGTAACGGCGGAGGGGGGGGGGGAGGGAGGCAGGGAAGAGGGGGGCGGGAGACAGGCAGCCGAAACCCGATGACCCAGCTGCAGCAGAAGGGCGAAGCGCGCGAAAGAAGGGAGCAAAATGCCGGGGTCCGGGGGGAAAGGGGAGTTCACTACCCCGGCCCGAGAGACATTCGCGCACTCGCCATTCTCTTGAGGGTCATGAGGGGGCACAAGCACCCGCGGCCGGATCTTCTTCCCATTCTCCCCCCCCCCCCCCGCACCCTGGAGAACCTGCTCTTCTCTGGCCGCCCCACCCATCCAGCCTGTTCACGCCGCCCGGAAAACCGGTGAGCCCTCGGCGAAAAGGCCATGCATGGGGACCCAAGACAGGATGGTCATGTGATATTGCCGATCGGGTGTAGGTCATCGCGTTTGGCTCCCGCCCTGCTGCGGGGCGGGGAGCGACGAGGCGGGCTGGCTGGAGGAAGGCGGGCGAGGAGAGAACACCATCGGGCGTGTGCGGTGTGCATGTAACTGTATTTGAGAGGGCCCCCACACAAACACACAAACACACACACACACACATACATACA